TAAATAAATAAATAAATAAATAAATAAATAAATAAATAAATAAATAAATAAATAAATAGATAAATAGATAGATAGATAGATAGATAGATACAGAGAGAGCGAAATAGTTGGCGCTCAACAATGACAAAGATGTTGCAGAAGCTTGATTTAGAAGACAGATGCATGGAAAACAAAAGATAAATAAACGCAAATAGACATAAATAACTTAACTTTTGCGTTGTAAAAAATGGATGGAAGATAAAGTCCGCAAAAGTGATCATACAAAGATGGGGAGTGGCAAACAAATTCACCTCTCCTTTACTGAAGTCGTAGTCAATGGAGAACTGCAGCTTGCCTAAGTTGACAGCCTCTTTCTCTCCATCAGCACCCTCGTTGTCCTCCATATTTGCCTCAAGCTCATCCAAGTCGCCCTGTGTACCCAAGCAGGGGCATATTGAAGGTCAAACAAGATCCCAGAAAGTAAGAAATGGAAAGAGGAAATAAATAAAATAGAGTAAGCGATAGCCTAGAATACGATTCTTTTTAAGGGTTCTCTGCTAAGCATTAAGACCCAGACTAGACAGCCTCAAAGCATAAATAATTCAGTCGAAAAAATGTAGTTGCAAATAACAAAGGTAAAACATGAAATACCATTGAAAAATAGGCAATAAAGATACTACGGCAGTAATATCTGATGACCTAACTATCACCTCAAGAAATCGGGAGCGCAAGATATAGAAAAAAATCCTGAAAATAAGACGTAACACTTGTCAGGATACCTGCCCATATGAAATACTGGAAAATAACCGAGATTTTTGGCAAATCAGTATGCACAGAGGAAACATCTAACCTATTGGATGTTCCATAAAAAAGATTGTTTCAACCCAAATAATGAAATTAAAACATGTGCATTCTTGCTTTGCACTGCAGGACTGCGCTAGGGCAGTCCGCAAGGTCGTTTAGAGAATCCTTAATTTGTAGACATGAAAGCGATCATCACGTGAGATGGGTTAGATAATTACTCCATTTCCTGTCTATAAGAGCTCATTGCTGGGCAGGACGGGGTAGCAGGACGGTTCGCCGAGGATTCATTGGTACAAATTTAAAGTCACAGCCCCATGACGATCTTGCTTCGGCTTACGATGAAGCCAACCTACGAATACTTTCAACTGGCCCTTTGACACGAAATGACAGATATGCAAACAGACAAATCAAGTAAAGGAGCATTCGCAACCCAGTTTGTATACATATTAGAATGGAAAAATAGCTTATAACGAAGCAAAAAGTTTAAATGCACTAGAAAGAGTAGTGAATTCTATGAGTCGTGTTCACCTTGTCAGCTCCCAACTGTTTGCCAAGAAGCTGAACGCTCTTCATGTCCACCTTGCCTTTCTTGCCGCCTTTTTCCTTTTTGCGCCGCTTGAAGATACACCGTTTGCAAATGCAGAAGAGGAGCAGTAGGATGAAAAGGGCGATTCCGACAATCATCGCGATCACTGCGCCTGCCGGAACTATTTGGTAGAAGAAAAGTAAACACAAGGGGCGGATAAGGAGGCTGGAATTAGAGGCATCTTTTGAAGGCGTCTACACAGTTTCATTGGAAGAGGATGGGGAAAGCCCAGTGAAAGAGGAGCAGGGGTCGGCACTCTTCCGGAATTCGACTAAATACTTTTCTTGGGGTTGTCGAAAGTTGAATGGGCCTATGCAACCAATTGTCGATAGCATTTACTCTATAGCCTAAAGCACAATGTACTAGCATCGGCTAAACTCCTAAGATCAAGTGGCTTGCAAACTTAAGAAGTGGAGAGGTTGTTTGACCTTGTTTTCGCAACATGGTCATATTGGTAGGAAGACTTAATGGAACGCACCTAGTC